TTTTTTTTTTTTTAATTTAAAGAAATGTAGAACTTGCTTTGGATTTGCAGCTGGAGGTGCTTTGTTTTCACACTCGAGCTTGATAGCAGCTTCTTCACCAGAGGCGATGTTGGCACCCAGGCAGGTGTCTCCAAAGCTACTGCTCTGGATCTTCATTCTGAGGCGGTACTTACTCCCCATGCGTACCTCCATGATTCATTCTTTCTGTTCCAGCAGCCTGTTTTTCGTAATTAATACATTTGTGGGGCCTTTCCACCGGGCTCACCCCTAGATGAACCCCGGACTCCCTTCTCCATGTCGCCGTTCCTGTGGTGTTGGCGGAAGCTGGCCTCCTGTGGCAAGTGCTCAGCGGCTGCTGAGTGATCATGTTGGTGAGCCCTCCCTGACTCCTGAGAGAACCCAGAGGGCCTGAAGGGCTCTGGGGTTGGAAGGTTGCAAGGCTGCAAGGCTGGGAAACTCCCGACCTTAGAAGGCAGCAAGCAGGCAGGCTGGAGCTCTGCTGGCCGCTGGAGAACAATACAGAACTGAGATTGAAAAATGGGAACTGGAGGGGGGTTGGGGACTGAAGTCTGCAATGGGAGAAGCTGGGATTGGTAACTGTGGAAACCCCTCAAGGTAAGAAAAAGAAGAGCTGGGTGTCTGAGAGATGCTTGAGTTGAATGGAGCATATGGGGGAAAGGGAGTGCTTGTAACCGAGATGGATGGCAGGACTTTATCCTACCCCCACTTCAAGAAGAAATACTATGAAGAAATGCCAGTTTGTCCTCATCTATTCTGCACTGTCCTGTGACAATGACGCCTCTGGGGAGGAGGATAACTAGGGTTCCTGGGAAAGACAGGGTGCTCACTATTCCTGACATTGCCCCAGCCATTCTAAATGTCACCACCCCAATCCCTATTCCGGGTGGCTGAGTCCGAATCTAGCAACAACCACCCCTAATCCTACCTTCTTCTGGTTAATCCCAGACCCAGGTGTTGTGGCAACATTAGAAATGGGAGGGGTTTAGAGCGTGACCCGTATGTCAGGTGCCTGAGTTCAACAACCTAGGCGTTCCCAGTTTTCAGATAATGCTCAGAATATTTTTTAATGTCCATTCCGCCGTGTTAATTGAGGATGTTCCTTTCATGCAGAAAGATTTTGAGGATGGCCCCCAGAATATATACAGCCTTTATGAGCAAGTCAGCTACAACTGTTTCATCACTGCCAGCCTTTACCTCCTCCTTGGAGGCTTCTCTTTCTGCTGAGTTGGGCTCAATAAGCACAAGGAAAACATGGTGCGCTAGAGCACAGTCCTGATTCCCCTCTCCAGCCCTCTCCTTTATTTAACGACTCCTTCCACCCCCTCACCTGGGTCCCATCCCACCCATTCTAGCCACCTCTGAGGGACTGGGTTTCCCTGGAGAAAGACTGAATCCCTTGTTCCTCCTCGAGCACCAGTGGAGGGGGCTGGGACTCGCCATTGACTGTCTCTCCAGTTCCCTAGCTTTGTTTTGAACCACAATAAAGAAAATCTGGTCTTGTAAAATAATAATAATAATAATACATTTGTGGGGCTACCTAAATGCTAATTGCCTTATAATATTAATAAGGTTAAATAATGCCAACTGTCCCCCCAAAATATGCACAAAGCTTAGATGCAAATAATTCATAAAAGCAGGCAAGGTGTGAGCACGAGTGAGGGACATTCCTACTGAGCACGTGCAGCTTTGTGCTGTGGCCCATTTACAGGATGGGGGATGAACACAGAACACAAAAGAAAAATACAGACTCACACACAAAGACAGTTTCATGACTCCAGTGTCCAATGCACCTGTCAGTTTATTTTTATACTCTAAAAAATTAAAGTTACTTCCCTGTACATAACCACCCAGGCATTACAGCAATGGCCATAAATTTGGGAACATGTAGCCTTAAGGATACAGATGTCCCCTGACTCAAGGTTTCTAGGTAGTTGCTCTAGGCGCCAGGCATAGATCACAGACCGAGATTAGCAAAGATGGGGAAAGCAGCCACAGGGGGCATTTTTCGTCCCCAGTTTCTCTTAGGCTGATCCTCTGTGGTTGTGCATGGCTTAGGTCGCCCCTCCCTTGAGGGATCTTACCCATCATTGACTAACCAGCCATCTTATGGGCTAAGCAGCAAGCACAGGAACAATGTGTTTATGGTGTGGCCTCCAGACCCCCACTGACTTCGGGCTGAGCAGCTCTTGCCTAAGTGCAGAAACTCAGGTCCTTTGTTATGCCTCTAGACAGCAACCTTGTTTGTCACATGGACACTGTCCAGAACACATTACTCTCAAATGCTCTGGGAAGAGCACATACATTACTCACTAAATTGAATTCTTAAACCAGGAAAGTGTAATGTCGGTCCCCAACAGCTGTCAAGTGATTCAAGTCCTACAACTCCTGGTTGAAAGAGACAGCAACAGATCGTGCTTCTTGGTATGAGGCGATGTCCTGCACTCACACACACAGACTCAGGGCTGTACAATGAAGACAATTTTAAAATATAACAACTCAGGAGTCCAAGACACACCGTCTGGGAATGTAAAACTTGGGAGCGTTGTGAGTCTAACCGTAAAGCGTTTAGACACATGTATATATGGAGGGGCCCAACTCACTTCTTTTACACCTTAGATTCCTGATCATTCAGGGGTTACTAAGATTGTGCTGCCCACCCTAGTCCATAAACACAAAGGAAACTGGTCTCTATGAGAGTCTCTCTGTGGTGCATTTAGACGCAACGTCTCTGGGTTTAAAGAGAAAACCCCGTCTCTACACCTCCACGCCCAGGGCGAGCTCACTCTGAAGTGAAGTGGCAGGGGCACGGCCCAGCCTGGGGGGTCTCTCCCTGGTTTCCTCATCCAGTTCCTGGGCCCGGACTCAGGGGGACAGTGTGACAAAGAGTGCTCGGTGCAGGAGGAGAGGGGTCAGAGCAATGTCGCCAGGCCCCAGGCGTGGCTCTCAGGGTGTCAGTCCCAAGGTCCCTCTCCAGGGCAGGAAAGCTCAGCTCTGGGGATTCCCCATCTCCCTGAGTTTAACTCCTGCCTGTCCCAACCCGTGTCAGGGACTTCTTCCTGGATACTGCTGACGCAGACCCAGCTCTCACTCCCATTGGGTGGGCGGTTTCCAGAGCCGCCAAGAGAGAAACCGCGGTTCCCGGTTGTAAAGTCCCCACGGACTCGGAGTCTCCCCAGACCGCGAGGATGGCGGTCCCGGCGCCCCGAGCCCCGCTCCTGCTGCTGTGGGGGGCCCTGGCCCTGACGGAGACCCGGGCGGGTGAGTGCGGGTCGGAGGGGGCGGCGTGTGCGGGCGGAGCGAGGGCGCCGCCGGGCCGGGCGGGGGCGCAGGCGCGGGCGCGGCGCGGGAGGCAGGTCGGGGTCTCAGCCGCTCCCCGCCCCCAGGCTCCCACTCCCTGAGGTATTTCGCCTCCGCCGTGTCCCGGCCCGGCCGCGGGGAGCCCCGGTACATCTCCGTCGGCTACGTGGACGACACGCAGTTCGTGCGGTTCGACAGCGACGCGGAGAGTCCGAGGGTGGAGCCGCGGGCGCCGTGGGTGGAGCGGGAGGGGCCGGAGTATTGGGACCGGGAGACGCGGGTCGCCAATGGCCACGCGCAGACTTTCCGAGTGAACCTGCGGACCGCGCTCCGCTACTACAACCAGAGCGACGGCGGTGAGTGACCGCGCCTCGGGTCACAGGTCACGACCCCGAACCATCCCCACAAACAAGCCCGCAACGCCGGGAGTCTCCGGGTCCGAGAATCACCCGGAGGCTGCGAGACCGGCCCAGACTTTTGACCCCTGGGGAGCCCGCGGGACTTTCACCCGGTTGCATTTTCGATTTAGGCCAAAATCCCAGCGGGTGAGGGGGCGGGGCGGGGCTGAGGGGGCGTGGTTGAAGGCGGGCATGAGTGGGCGTGGCTGGCGGCGGAGGCGGGGCTCAGGGCGGGGGAGGATCTGACCTTGGGTGCGGAGTGTGGGTGTGGCTGACCTTGGGTGCTGGGCTGACCGCGGGGGCGGAGACAGGATCTCACACCTTCCAGAGGATGCAGGGCTGTATTCTGGGGCCGGACGGTCGCCTCCTCCGCGGGTACCTGCAGTTCGCCTACGACGGCGCCGACTACCTCGCCCTGAACGAGGACCTGCGCTCCTGGACCGCGGCGGACACGGCGGCTCAGATCTCCAAGCGCAAGTGGGAGTCGGCCGGTGAGGCGGAGCACCGCAGGGCCTACCTGGAGGGACTGTGCGTGGACTCGCTCCGCAGATACCTGGAGCACGGGAAGGACACGCTGCTGCGAGCGGGTACTCGAGGCCCCAGGGCGCCTCCCCCATGTCCTGTGGATGTCCCCGCTCTGCTCACGCAAGGACGGGAGGAAAATGAGACCCAGGCTAGAATGTCGCCCTCCCTCTGGTCCAGAGCAGGAAGACGCCTCCTGGTGTCAGATCCTGCACCAGAGAGTGACTGAGGACCCGCCCTTCCCTCTGGGACCATTAGGGACCAGTCCCCCAGGGAATGGAGGGGAACACAGTCCCTGGAATACCGATCAGGGGTCCCCTCTGACCCTGCCCCAGCCGTGGGCACTGTGACTTTTCCTCTCAGGCCGTGTTCTCTGCCAAGCAATCTGTGTTTGGGGTCGGATTCCCGCTCTTCTGAGCCGCTGACCTCCACTCAGACCAGGACCAGAAGTCCCCGTTCTCCTCCTGAGACACTAGAACTTTCCAAAGAGTAGGAGATTATCCCAGACCCCTGGGTCCAGGCTCTTGTCTGGATTTCCCACTCCCTTCCCCCACCCCGTTTGTCCTGCCTATTCTCAGGGTGTCACATGAGCACTGCTGGAGTGTCCCCTGAGGGATGCAAAGTGCCCGAATTTTCTGACTCTTCCCCTCAGACCCCCCAAGGACACATGTGACCCACCACCCCATCTCTGAGCATGAGGCCACCCTGAGGTGCTGGGCCCTGGGCTTCTACCCTGCGGAGATCACACTCACCTGGCAGCGGGATGGGCAGGACCAAACACAGGACACAGAGTTTGTGGAGACCAGGCCTGCAGGGGACGGAAGCTTCCAGAAATGGGCAGCTGTGGTGGTGCCTCCAGGAGAGGAGCAGAGATACACGTGCCATGTGCAGCACGAGGGTCTGCCGGAGCCCCTCACCCTGAGATGGGGTAAGGAGGGGGTGGGGGTCCCGTCTCTTCTCAGGGAAAGCAGGGCCCTTCTGGAGCCCTTGAGCAGGGTCAGGGCTGAGCCTGGCTCAGGCCCCTCACCTTCCCGTCCTTTCCCAGAGCCGCCTTCCCAGCCCAGCGTCCCTATGGTGGGCATCGTTGCTGGCCTGTTTCTCCTTGGAGCTGTGCTCATTGGGGCTGCCGCTGTGATGTGGAGGAAGAAGAGCTCAGGTAGGGAAGGATGGGGGGAGGGGTTGGTGCTTTCTTGTCCCACTGAGGGTTTCACACTTCTGCCCAGGCAGAAGTGTGCTCTGCCTCATTCAGGGGCCCTATTTGCTCACACTTGCTCTATTGGAAAGGACATGGAATGTGCAGAACAAATCCATCACCTTGATGATTGTGGGAATTTCGACCTGAATCCTCAGCAGTCACAGGTCACATGGACAGGTGCCTGCTGAACACAGACATCTAGGAGGGCAGTTAGTCCAGTGCCTCCTTCCCTCGTGTTTCTTAATCTTCACCTACATCATTAGTCTCAGTTCTGGAACCGTCTGTGAGGTCCAAAACTAGGGGCATCTTCTAGGATCTCGTGGCCCTGCCTCCTCTCTGGCCTCTCACAGGACATTTTCTTCCCACAGGTGGAAAAGGAGGGAGCTACGCTCAGGCTGCCTGTAAGTATGGGGGCCTTATCCCTGAGACCTTTGGGACAGTGTAGACAGGAGCCCATGGGGGGGCTTCCCACCCCATAATCCTCCTGTAGCCACTTCTCCTGTGGGGTCTGACCAGGTCATGTTCTGTTCTACCCCAGGCAGCGACAGTACCCAGGGCTCCGATGTGTCTCTCACGGCTTGTAAAGATGAGAGCCTGGGGGCCTGATGGTAGGGCTGGGGCATCGGGGACAGAGCTTGGCTGTGGGGATTCTGTGATTGGGACATTTTGACTGTGGCGTGCTGTTCCTAGTGTGACCACTTATCATGACTCACCTGAGTTTGTTCCTGATTATTGCTTTCTGCAGCGTGAGACAGCTGCCTGTGTGGGACTGAGCGATGCAGGACTTGTTCCCGCCTCCCCTGTGTGGGGTCAGGAGCCTCTGACTTCTCTGTGTGCAAAAGCACCTGATGCCTCTGCGACCCTGTCAGCATCGTGTGTTGTGGGGGAGGCCAGTCCTGCCCTGTGTTCTGCACCCTCCCCCACACTGGTCCCACACTGGTCCGTGTCCTGTTCCCAGTCATTATTCGTGTTCCAGTGAGGGAGGGCTGGGACGTCTCCATGCCTGTCTCATCACAGTGCACTGAGCTACTTCCCTACTGAAAATAAGATTCAAAGTAAATTTGTTTTCTCAAATTCTTGCAATGACAGATGGATTGGTTAATTAAAGGAGAAGTTTCCTAAAATTTGAGAGTGGAAATAAATGGAAGACCTGAGAAACTTCCAGAACCCTGTGTGTGCTGTGCTGTGTCTGCTCAGGTGGGGACGGGAGAAGGCTGTGAGGAGTCCGGTGTGGATGTAGCTTGTGCCCAGTCTGTGCTCAGTCCATCACGGGCTGTATGTGTCACTCCTTGGCTGTGTCATCCTCTCTGCTCTGTTTTCCTTGTCCCAGTAGAACCTTGTCCAGCAGGACCTGTGATGACAGAGGCTGAGACGCCCCCAGGGCAGCCCCTGCACAGGAGAGTCTCTGTGGTGTCAAAAGATGAACTTTCAGACCCAGCAAGCTCTTGCCCTCCTGGGGCTTTTTCCTGGATTTTGTTTTCCATCTTTTCCTCAACCTTTTTATTCCTCTATTTTTAATTTTTATGGATACATAATAATTGTTTATATTAGGTGGTACATGTGATATTTCACTACAAGCATACAATGTGTAATGATCCAATCTGGCTCATTAGACTGTCCCTCACCTCAAAAGTTTATCATTTTGGGAAGGTAATCTTCTAGTTTGAAATATACAGTAAATTATTGTTAACTAGAATCACCCTATTGTCCTACTGAACACTAGATCTCATTCCTTCTATCAAACTATTTTATAGCCATGGCAAACTCCAGAAACCACCACTGTAGTCACTACTTCTGTGTGGTCAGTATTTTTAGCTCCCACATGTGAGAGAGACACATGATATCTGTCTGTGCCTGGTTCATTTCTCTTCACATAGTGTCCATGTTGCTGCACACAAACTTATTTTTTATTTTATTTTATTTTTTTTGTGGCCAGCTGGTCTGGCTGGTGCTGTTCCCACTCCCTCAGGAACTCGTGCCCCTGCTCAAACTCTGCTGTGATGTCCTGCCTCTGGTCCTAGAGCTTCCTCTGCAGGGGTGGGGACAAGGGAAGGGCTGACGCCTCTGCCTCGGGGCAGAGGACCCAGCATTGGGGGCACACGAGGACCCCATTCCTGAATTCTGCCCCCTCAGACGCCTCCACCTCCCTCAATGCTTACCAGGGAGCCAGCTCCCTCTAGCCAGACCCTGTGGCTTCCCTCCGCCCTCAGGAATTCGTGTCTTTCTCCCCTCTTTAGGAGAATAATGAAGCCAGGCCTCCTCTACCAACTGGCTGAAGAGCAGCATCTCGTAGACAGGGACCCTGCAGCGGAGGTGACAGTCACAGAGAAGGGAAGGGACCCCGGCTGGCGTCCAGGCGGCCCGCTCACCTCTCAGGTGAGAAGCAGGCTCAAGACCACACAGCTCAGACGTACAGAGCTGGGGCGGCCACTGCCAGCCCGAACCTGTCCGTCCTCCCGCGGGCGGTGCCCCTGGGGACACTCATGGCAGCCGCCTGCTCACCCCCGCGCTGCGTGCTCCGCGCCAGCAGCCACCTGGGCCTTCCCGCAGCCGAGCTCACCGGTGCCGCCAGGACGTCAGCTTCTCCCTTGGCCAGGAAGCCCTGGATTTTCTCTCTGTCCCTCCTTAGGACACTCAGGTGGTTCAGGTTTTTTTCCTGTGGACAGGGAAGCCGCGGGGACAGGTGGATGCTCTGGCCCAGGCTTTGGGGGATGCCGGCGAAATGTCCCTGGAAGGCAGCAGGACACCCAAGAAGACGGCAGGACACCTGGCAGGGCGGGCTCACCCGGTGGGGCTGAGGGGACTTCTCCTCCAGCAAGGCCGGCCGTGTGGGGCCCGTGCTCCCTGGACGCCAGGCACATCACGCACAGCAGCCTCCCATCGTCCTCCCAGTAGGAGTGCAGCTTCTCCCAGTGCAGGGCGCACACACTTTCTATGCGCCCTGCTGTTCCTGGCACGCGCTCAAGGCCGCCAGCCCTCCTGCGCCTTCAGCTGCTCACTAGATGTTCTCCACCAGGCTGGCCAGCTGCCACACAGGACAGGCGCCCTCCTTCTTGAACGGCTTCTTGCAGAGCAGACACGAAGGGTGCCCCACCAGACCTTGCTGGTGCAACTGTGGCAGAAGACGTGGCCACAGTCAATGGTCATGGGGTCCCGCAGGTGATCCAGGCAGATGGAGCAGGTCACCTCTTCTTCCAGGCTCCCCAGTGGGGCTGGCCTGGTCATGGTACCCGTAGCTCAAAGGGTTCTCAGCTCACCTGTGGGGGCTTCTCCTTGGGGACCAGACACGGAGTCAAGAGCAGGCGCAGCAAAAGGGCAGAGGCGCGTTGGCCTGTGTAGGGCGCCAGCCCCAGACACCACCAACTCCCAGGAGGCTCTCATGACCTCAGAGTGACAGGGACCTTGCCTATCTCCAATAGCTAGATTTCAAGAAACCTAGTGCCTAGATTGGAGTTAACCATTTCTTCCTCCTGTATCAAACCAAGACTGTCACGATGTTAAGCTAGGTGAGTGGACCCAGGTTTGAGACTGACATTTTTCTAAGGGAAAGGGAATTCAATTAGGCAAAAATTTGTGAAGATGATGTTTGAGTAAATAATCAACATCTCAAGAATTCTTAAGAAACTAATTTTGAAATTTTTTTCCTCTCTCTCTCTCTCTCTCTCTCTCTCTCTCTCTCTCTCTCTCTCTCTCTCTCTCTCTCTCTCTCTCTCTCTCTCTCTCTGTTTTCCTTTTCTTTTTATACACAGGGACTCCCTGTGTTGCCCAGGCTGGTATGAAACTCCAGGCCTCAGGGGATCCTCCAGCTAAAGCCTCCTGAGATGCTGGAATTGTAAGTGTGAGCCACTGTGCCCAGCTCTGAATATTCTTTGGAAAAAACAAAGATTGTGATTATTTAAAGGCATTATTGTTATGGCACTGAAATCACGATACTCTTGGATCCTTGGATCCAGCTACTATATGTTCTCAATTTTGTAGGAACTTATTGAAGAGAACATTACTATTAAAGGCATTTGCATGAAAATCTTAGAGATATTAATGTATATCCCTCCTCTGTCCCAAACTTCTTTAGCAGCATCCAATCCTCTGTGATGTCTCAAAATTTTAATCACTGCTTGGAAAAGAGAAGTTTAAAGTATTAAAGTAAAATAATCAGAGGAAAGAAGCATTTGATTTACAAAATCCTGAAACAATCACTTTCATTTTGCTTTTGGCATGTATGCAAAGTCAGTGATACTCCTCCTTTCTGGAGGTGCAGCTTAATTCCCTCCCTGTGAGTGTGGCCTGGACTTAATGGTTCACTTCTAACTGACAGAGCAACGCTGATGTAACAGTTTGTGACTCTGGTGTAGGACATAAAACTCACTGTGGATTCCACCCTGCTTCTCCCTTTCTGGGATGACGAGCTCTGGGGAAGCCAGTTGGTTTGTCATAAGCAGCCCTGTGCAAAGCTCCACATTCTAGAAACTGAGGGCTCCTGGGACCAGCCAACAAGCAGCTGAGGCCTCTTCCAGCAGTCACGAGAGTGAGCCACGTTTCATGCAATCCCCAGCCCCAGTCCAGCCCTCAGATGACACTGCCTGGCTGACAACTGGACAGCTACCCTGTGAGAAGCCCTGAGCCAGGAGCACTTAGTGAAACCTCTCCTGGATTCCTGACCACCAGAAACTGTGGGAAATAATAAATATTTGTTGTTTTGAGCTGCTATGTTTTGGGTAATTTCATACACAGCAGTAGATAATAGAATTTGCAAAGAAAGAATGAATTATGGCACTTTAATTTTCATTTTCTCTACATGAATTATAAGATATTAAACATATCATTTGGCCTTAGGATGTAAGAAGAACTTCCATGGCCAAATAGGGTGTATTTTATTACCACTCATAACTATCCATTTACTTGACCTTCTATTTCCAGCTGTGACCCAACTGAACAGAAAAGGAAGATCCGGGCATGCTAGGCTGATTCTGTGATGTCCCGCAATAACCACCCCCTGCTTATTCACCTTCCCCCGGTTACTCAATCACCACTAATGTAGGTGCTGCTGGGAAGGGACTTGCAGATATAACTAAGGTCCAAAATCAGTTGACTTTAAGACAAGGGATTATCCTGGATTGGACTGTCCTAATCCAGGTGAGCCCTTAAAAGGACTGGGTTCTTCCTGAGTATGAGATTCACAGTGTGAAAGGGACCCAGTGTGATAAAATAACTTCACTGTGGGCTTTGAAAGTGGAGAAGCCGTGTGGCTAGGAATGCTGGGGGCACCAGAAAGTGGGAGCAGCACCCCCTCAACCCCTGCCACCACCACAACCCCACTTACCTGATAGCCAGCAATGAAACAAGGACCTCAGTCCTACAACTGCCAGAATCCGAATTCTGCCCACAGGCTCCAGATAAGCGTGGGGGAAGACACGACCTCAAGATGAGGACACAACTTTGTGAAACCCTGAACAGAGAACACATCCATACCATGCCAGATAAGCACATAGCAATTTCTCGACTGCAGTGAACTTATAAAGTAATATGTAATAGTTGCATGAAATAAAATCATTCCTTTTTTAGTATTTTTCGGTTTATGATTTTTATGTGAGTAAATTAAATTTTAAGACAATGAGATTTCATTTATTCTAGGCATCCTCAAACTCTGCCCACAAGCCACTTGCTGCCCACTGAGGACATTTATCCAGCTGGCCCAGTGTTTTTGCCTCCACTGCCTGTCCTGCTTAGCAGTTGTCTGGTCCCAGGCCCACAGTGTGCACTCTCCAGTGGTCTGAGGGACAATGAACTATCCCCCTGTTTAAAAGGTTTGAGGAACCCTGATTTATTCCTTCAACAAAAATTAACTTAGTGCCTACTTGGTACCAGGTACACCTTTACATGCTGGGGTTACGGCTTTGACCCAAACAGCCCAAAGCCCCTGTGCCCACATGCTACACATTCAAGAGGCTTTGCAAGAGTGAAACCAACCCATGGGAGCATTTTAAGTGAAAAAGTGACAGGACCTGACTCTCATTGGCAAGACTACTGAGCACTGTGGGGAGGACAGCTGTGGGCAGCAGGTGAGGGGACAGTGCCAGTGCCACAGGTCAGGAGTGACTAAGGGGAGATGGGTGCAGGTGGGACTAAGGGGAGATGAATGTAGGCTGAGAGGGACAGAGGGAAGGGCTGAAGAAGCAGGAGCTGAGGAACAGGAGCACAGGGATAGAGTTCTAAAGCAGCCAAATTTTCAGATGCAAACACAGTGTTTTATAGCTTTTACTATGCATATCTACAGAGCCCAGCAGGGTGTTCTTTGTATTTGATCTTTTTTTTTTTTTTTTTTTTTTTTGAGATGGAGTCTTGTTTGTTGACCAGGCTAGAGTGAGTGCCCTGGCGTCAGCCTAGCTCACAGCAATCTCAAACTCCTGGGCTCAAGCAATCCTTCTGCCTCAGCCTCCCAAGTAGCTGGGACTACAGGCATGCGCCACCATGCCCGGCTAATTTTTTCTATATATATTAGTTGGCCAATTAATTTCTTTCTATTTATAGTAGAGACGGGGTCTTGCTCTTGCTCAGGCTGGTTTCAAACTCCTGACCTCGAGCAATCCGCCCTCCTTAGCCTCCCAGAGTGCTAGGATTGCAGGCGTGAGCCACCCCGCCCGGCTGATCATTTTTTTTTAATTTTAAAAAATGTAGAACTTGCTCTGGATGTGCAGCTGGAGGTGCTTTGTTTTCACACTGGAGCTTGATAGCAGCTTCTTCAGCAGAGGTGATTTGACACCCAGGCAGATGTCTCCCAAGCACTGGCTCTGGATCTTCATTCCCAGACGGTACTTACTCCTCATGCATAGCTCCATGATTTGCTCTTGCTGTTCCAGCAGCCTGTATTTCATAATTAATACATTTGTGGGCCTGCCTAAATGCTAATTGCCTTATAATATTAATCAAGTTAAATAATACCAACTGTCCCCCCAAAATATGCACACACCTTAGATTTCAATAATTCATAAAATAGGCAAGGCGTGAGCACGGATGAGGGGCATTCCTACTGAGCACGTGCAGCTTGGAAGTGATTCAAGTCCTACAACTCCTGGTTGGAATAGACAGCAACAGATTGTGCTTCTTGGTATGAGGCGATGTCCTGGACTCACACACACAAACTCAGGGCTATAGAAGGAGGACAATTTTAAAATACAACAACTCAGAGTCCAAGACGCACCGTTTAGGAAAGAAACACTTGGGAGCGTTGTGAGTCTAACTGTAATGCGTTTAGACACATATGTATAGAGAGGGGCCCAACTCCCTTGTTTCACACCTTAGATGCCTGATCATTCAGGGGTTACCAAGATTGTGCTGCCCACCCTAGTCCATAAACACAAAGGAAACTGGTCTCTATGAGAGTCTCTCTGTGGTGCATCTAGACACAACCTCTCCAGCTTTAAAGAGAAAACCCTCATCTGTACACCTGCAGGCACAGTGCTAGCTCACTCTGGCATCCAGTTCCCTGGGGTGAGTTTTCTTCTAGAAGAGTCCATGGGGAGAGGACAGGAGTAGGAGGCAGGAAGTCCAGTCCAGGGAGAGGGGCTCCAGGTCAGGAAGTGAATGGTCAGGGACTGGGCCCAGCCTGGGGGAGTCTCTCTCCTGGTTTCCTCATCCAGTTCCTGGGCCCGGACTCAGGGAGACCGTGTGACAAAGAGCGCTTGGTGCAGAAGAAGAGGGGTCAGGGCCCTGGGCGTGGCTCTCAGGCTGTCAGTCCCAAGGTCGCTGTCCAGGGCAGGGAAGATCAGCCCTGGGGATTCCCCATCTCCCTGAGTTTCACTTCTGCCTGTCCTAACCCGTGTCAGGGACTTCTTCCTGGATACTGCTGACGCGCACCCAACTCTCACTCCCATTGGGTGACCCGTTTCCAGAGTCGCCAATCAGCGTCGCCGCGGTGCCCGGTGGTAAAGTCCCCAGGGACGCAGAGTCTCCCCAGACCGCGAGGATGGCGGTCCCGGCGCCCCGAGCCCCGCTCCTGCTGCTGTGGGGGGCCCTGGCCCTGACGGAGACCCGGGCGGGTGGGTGCGGGTCGGAGGGGGCGGCGTGTGCGGGCGGAGCGAGGGCGCCGCCGGGCCGGGCGGGGGCGCAGGAGCGGGCGCGGCGCGGGAGGCGGGTCGGGGTCTCAGCCGCTCCCCGCCCCCAGGCTCCCACTCCCTGAGGTATTTCTACACCGCCGTGTCCCGGCCCGGCCGCGAGGATTCCCGCTTCATCGAGGTCGGCTACGTGGACGGCACGCAGTTCGTGCGGTTCGACAGCGACGCGGCGAGTCCGAGGGCGGAGCCGCGGGCGCCGTGGGTGGAGCGGGAGGGGCCGGAGTATTGGGACTGGGAGACTTGGGTCGCCAAGCTCAAAGCCGAGACTTTCCGAGAGAACCTGCGGACAGTGCTCCGCTACTACAACCAGAGCGACGGCGGTGAGTGACCCCGGCTCGGGTCACAGGTCACGACCCCTGCATCCCCACAGAGAAGCGGGCGTCGCCCGGAGTCCCCGGGTCCGAGAGTCACCCTTTGGCTGCGGGACATGGCGAGACCTTCGACCCCGCGGGGACTCTCACCCGGTTTCATTTTCAGTTTAGGCCAAAATCCCCGCGGGTTGGGGGCGGGGCTGAGTGGGCGTGGCTGACGGCGGGGGCGGGGCCAGGCTCTCACACCATCCAGTGGATGTCTGGCTGCGACATGGGGCCGGACGGTCGCTTCCTTCGCGGGTATGAACAGTTCTCCTACGACGGCGCCGACTACATCGCCCTGAACGAGGACATGACCTCCTGGATCGCGGCGGACACGGCGGCTCAGATCACCAAGCGCAAGTGGGAGGCGGCCGGTAAGGCAGAGGACAGCAGGGCCTACCAAGAGGAGGAGTGCGTGTACTGGCTCCGCAGATACCTGGAGCACGGGAAGGACACGCTGCTGCGCGCGGGTACGCGGGGCTGGGGGCGCCTCCCGCATCTCCTGTGGATGTCCCCGCTCTGCTCCACAAGGACTGGAGGGAAATGAGAAGGAGGCTAGAATGTCGCCCTCCCTCTGGTCAGAGCAGGAAGACGCCTCCTGGTGTCAGATCCTGCACCAGGGAGTGACTGAGGACCCGCCCTTCTCTCTGGGACAATTAAGGACCAGTCCCCCAGGGAATGCAGGGGAACACAGTCCCTGGAATACGGAACAGTGGTCCCCTCTGACCCTGCCCCAGCCGCGGGCGCCGTGACTTTTCCTCTCGTGCCGTGTTCTCTGCCTCACACTCTGTGTTTGGGATCGGATTCCCACCCGTCTGGGCCTCTGCCCTCCAGTCAGCCCAGGTCCTGAAGTCCACGTTCTCCCCCTGAGAGACTAGAACTTTCCAAGGAGTAGGAGATTATCCCAGACCCCTGGGTCCAGGCTGGAGTCTGGATTTCCCTCTCCCTTCCCCCACCCTGTTTGTCCTGCCCATTCTCAGGGTGTCACATGAGCACTGCTGGATGTCCCCTGAGGGATGCAAAGTGCCCGAATTTTCTGACTCTTCCCCTCAGAACCCCCAAGGGCACACGTGACCCACCACCCCAGCTCTGAGCGTGAGGCCACCCTGAGGTGCTGGGCCCTGGGCTTCTACCCTGCGGAGATCACACTGACCTGGCAGCGGGATGGGGAGGACCTGACCCAGGATATGGAGTTTGTGGAGACCAGGCCGGCAGGGGATGGAACCTTCCAGAAATGGGCAGCTGTGGTGGTGCCTCCAGGAGAGGAGCAGAGATACACGTGCCATGTGCAGCACGAGGGTCTGCCGGAGCCCCTCACCCTGAGATGGGGTAAGGAGGGCGTGGGGAGGGTCATGTCTCTTCTCAGGGAAAGCAGTGCCCTTCAGGAGCCCTTGAGCAGGGTCAGGGCTGAGCCTGGCTCAGGCCCCTCACCTTCCCGTCCTTTCCCAGAGCCGCCTTCCCAGCCCAGCGTCCCTATGATGGGCATCGTTGCTGGCCTGGTTGTCCTTGGAGCTGTGCTCATTGGGGCTGTGGTCGCTGCTGTGATGTGGAGGAAGAAGAGCTCAGGTAGGAAGGGATGGGGGAATGGGTTGAGGCTTCTTGTCCCACTTGGGGTTTCACGCCCAGGCAGAAGTGTGCCCTGACTCACTCAGGGGCCCTATTTGCTCACACTTGCTCTATTGTAAGGACATGGAAAGTGAAGAACAAACTCATCATCCTGATGATTGTGGGAATAGCGACCTGAATCCCCAACGGTCACAGGTGACAGGGACAGGTGCCTGCTGAGCACAGACCTCCAGGAGGACAGTTGCTCCAGTTTTTCTTTTACTCCTGTTTCTCCATCTTGCCCTACATCATTAGTCTCAGTTCTGGAACCTTCTGTGGGCTCAAAAACAAAGGTGTCTTCTAGGATCTCGTGGCCCTGCCTCCTCTCTGGCCTCTCACAGGACATTTTCTTCCCACAGGTGGAAAAGGAGGGAGCTATGCTCAGGCTGCCTGTAAGTATGGGGACTTATCCCTGAGACCTTTGGCACAGTGTGGACAGGAGCCCATGGGGAGCTCCCCACCCCATAATCCTCGTGTAGCCACATCTCCTGTGGGGTCTGACCAGGTCCTGTTCTGTTCTACCCCAGGCAGTGACAGTGCCCAGGGCTCGGATGTGTCTCTTAGGCTTGCAAAGGTGAGAGCTTGGGGGCTTGAAGGAAGGGGGTAGGGCAGCGGGGACAAAACTGGGCTGTGGGGATTCTGTGATTGGGACATTTTGACTGTGGCATGCTGTTCCTAGTGTGACCACTTATCATGACTCACCTGAATTTGTTCCTGATTATTGCTTTCTGCAGCGTGAGACAGCTGTCTGTGTGGGACAGAGCGATGCTGGATTTGTTCCCGCCTCCCCTGTGTGGCGTCAGGAGCCTCTGACTTCTCTGTTTGCAAAGGCACCTGAGTGACTCTGCGACCCTGTCAGCATCGTGTGATGGGGTGGGGAGGCCAGTCCTGGCCCCTGTCCTGCACCCTCTGCCACACTTTTCCGTGTCCTGTGCCCAGTCATCTTTCCTGTTCCAGGGAGGGAGGGCTGGGATGTATCCATCCCTGTCTTATTGTCATGGTGCACTGAGCTACTTCCCTACTAAAAATAAGAATTGAAAATAAATTTGTTTTCTCAATTCTTGCAATGAGAGGTGGATTGGTTAATTAAAGGAGAAGCTTCCTAAAATTCGAGAGTGGAAATAAATGGAAGACCTGAGAACCTTGTAGAATCCTTGTGTTTGCTATGCTCAGTCTGCTGTAGTTGGAGACAGGAGAAGGCTGTGAGGAGCTGGGTTTGGATGGGACTTGTGCCCACTCAATGTTCAGTCCATCATAGGCTGTATGTGTCACTCCTTGGCTGTGTCATCCTCTCTGTTATGTTGTCCTTGTCCCGGTAGAACCTTGTCCAGCAGGACCTGTGATGACTGAGGCTGAAATCCCCCCAGGGCAGCCCCTGCACAGGGGAGTCTCTGTGGTGACAAAAGATGAACTTTCAGACCCAGCAAGTTCTTGCCCTCCTTCTGGGGCTCCTTCCTGGATTTTGTTTTGCATCTTTTCCCCAACCTTTTTATTCATTTATTTTTAATTTTTATGGATACATAATAATTGCTTATATTATGGGGTACTTGTGATATTTTGGTACAAGCATATAATGTGTAATGATCAAATCTGGGTCATTAGACTGTCCCTCACCTCAAACGTTTATCATTTCTTTGTGTTTGGAAGGTAATCTTCTCTTCTAGTTTGAAATATACAGTAAATTATTATTAACTACAATCACCCTATTGTCCTACTGAGCACTAGATCTTATTCCTTCTATCAAACTATTTTATAGCTATGGCAAAATCCGGAAACCACCACTGTAGTCACTACCTCTGTGTGGTCACTTTTTTTACCTCCCACATGTGAGAGAGACGCGCGATATCTGTCTGTGCCTGGTTCATTTCTCTTGACGTAGTGTCCATGTTGCTGCACCCAAGCTTTTTTTTTTTTTTTTTTTTTGTGGCCAGCTGGTCCAGCAGGTGCTGCTCCCGCTCCCTCAGGAACTGGTGGCCCTGCTCAAACTCTGCCGTGATGTCCCGCCTCTTGTCCTGGAGCTTCTTCTGTAGGGGGGAGGGGAACACGGGAAGGGCTGATGCCTCTGCTGCAGGGCAGAGAACCCGGCATTGGGGGCACACCAGGACCCCATTCCTGAATTCTGCATTGTCTCCCAGGGAGGAGCCCTTAAGGGCTCCAGGTTCCCCCTCCTCTCCTCAGAGAAGTGCTGGCAGTGAATGGATGGGGTTCACCTAGCACTGTGTGAGCAGAATCCCTCTCTGCCAGCCTGGTAGCCAGCTCTGCTCCAGGCAACCCTACATGTCCCCCGGCCCTGGGAACTCGGGGTCTGCCTCATAAGCCAGCACTCTCCCTCCTGGCGGAATCTGCCTGTCACCTCTTCTGGGAAGTAGCGCACTTCTCATCTGAGCCTGCTCAACCCTCTCCTCACAACCCCACTGGTGGGTCCCCAATGTCTGTGTCACCCCATTCCGCCACACAGCATGTGCCCTGCTTCCTCAGGGCCCCTGTCCGCCCCTGCCTGCAGCCCCCCTGCCCAGCCAGAGTTGGGCCGCAGTCCTTAGTGCCCCTGTGACCCATGCTGGGCCAGAGGTGTCCCTGACAACCAGGGCCTGGAGATGCTCCTTGGACTCAGGCTGTCTCTGCCTTTACCTCTCCCTCTCCCCGGACCCAGTGTCCCTCCACTGCCCGCTCCCCAACAAACACACTCCCCGAGAACTGGAGCCGCCCCCGTCAGGGTTTTCCCTCCTGATGCCTTCATCTAAGCGAGCACACAAGGTGCCCCCAAGTCATAACTGCCACTGTCCCTCCTGTCAGCAGGCAATGGGTTCCAGGCCTCCCGCCCCCGAGGAGAGCAAAATCCGAGGGCTCGCAAGTCCCTGATACACAAGGGCGCGGCCTCCGTGCACTCGGTCGTCTGGTTCACCCGAGACGCCCGGCACAGTGAACACGCTGTGGGAAGCGCTGCTGCTGCACCGTTCAGAGAGCAAGGACACACTCCGCACGTGTGCAGGAGACGCTTTTCCCTTTCCTGAACATTTCCACTGGGAGCTGGTGGAGCCCACGGGTGCAGACCCGCGACACGCAGGGCCGGATGCACTGGCGACCTCGCCAGCCCAAGCCTCACCCACTCGGTGCCACCAGAGCTGGTCGTGCGCTCTCAGTCGCCTCCGCCTCCCTCTCAGCTCTTACCCGGGACGCAGCTCCCTCTCACCAGGCCCTGCGGCTTCCCTCTGCGCTCAGGAAATCGTGTCTTTCTCCCCTCTTTACAAGAGTAATGAAGCCAGGCCTCCTGCGCCCCCTGGCGGAAGAGCAGCAGCGGCCAGACGCGGACCCTGCAGCGGAGGTGACAGTCACAGAGAAGGGAAGGGACCCTGCCTGGAGTCTAGGCGGCCCGATCACCTCTCAGGTGAGAAGCAGGCTCAAGGCCAATAGCTCAGACGCACAGAGCCGGGGGCGGCCACTGCCAGCCCGAGCCCGTCCGTCCTCCCGCGGGCGGTGGCCCTGGGGACACTTGCAGCAGCCGCCTGCTCACCCCCGCGCTCTGCCTGCTCCGCGCCGGCAGCCACCTCCGCCTTCCTGCAGCTGAGCTCACCGGTGCCACCAGGACGTCAGCTTCTCCCTTGGCCTGGAAGCCCTGGATTTTCTCTCTGTCCCTCCTTAGGGCCTTCGGGTGGTTCAGGATTTTTTCCTGTGGACAGGGAAGCCGCGAGGACAGGTGGATGCTCCGGCTAAGGCTTCGGGGGCTGCAGGTGCAGCGTCCCTGGAAGGCGGCAGGACACCCGGCAGGACGGGGTCACCTGGCGGGGCTGAGCGGACTTCTACACCAGCACGGCCGGCCGTGTGGGGCCGGTGCTCCCGGGACTCCCGGCACATCATGCACAGAAGCCTCCCATCGTCCTCCCAGTAGGAGTGCCGCGCGCACAGCTTCTTCCCGCCCTGATGCTCCCAGTCCCGCGCTCCAGGCCCCCAGCCCTCCTGCGCCTACAGCTGCTTCCTAGATGTTCTCCGCCAGGCTGACCAGCTGCCACACAGGGCGGGCGCCCTCCTTCTTGAACGGCTTCTTGCAGAGCGGACACGAAGGGTGCCCCCCCCCCAGGCGGGGCGGACGTCGCTGGTGCAGCTGTGGCAGAAGACGTGGCCATAGTCAATGGTCATGGGGTCCCCGCAGATGATCCAGGCAGATGGATCAGGTCACCTCTTCTTCCAGGCTCCCCAGTGGGGCTGGCGTGGCCATGGTGCCCGAAGCTCAGAGGGTTCCCAGCTCACTGGTGGGGACTTCTCCTTGGGGACCAGACATGGAGTCAAGAGCAGGCGCAGGGAAAGGGCAGAGGCGCGTTGGCCTGTGCAGGGCGCCGGCCCCAGACACCACCAGTTCCCAGGAGGCTCTCACGACCTCAGAGTGACAGGGACCTTGCCTATCTCCAATAGCTAGTTTTCAGGAAACCGAGTGCCTAGACTGGAGTTGACCATTTCTTCCTCCTGTATCAAACCAAGACTGTCACGATGTTAAAGATACATGTGCGGACCGAAGTTTGAGATTCACATTTTTCTAAGGGAAAGAGAATTCAATTAGGCAAATATTTGTGAAGATGATGTTTGAGTAAATAATCAACATCTCAAGAATTCTTAAGAAACTAATTTTGAAATTTTTTTCCTCTATGTCTCTCTCTTTCTCTCTGTTTTCCTTTTCTTTTTATACACACGGACTCCCTGTGTTGCCCAGGCTGGTATGAAACTCCAGGCCTCAGGTGATCCTCCAGCTACAGCCTCCTGAGTTGCTGGAATTGTAAGTGTGAGCCACCGTGCCCAGGTCTGAATCTTCTTTGGGAAAAAACAAAGATTGTGTTTATTTAAAGGCATTATTGTTATGGCACTGAAATCATGGTACTCTTGGATCCAGCTACTATATGTTCTCAACTTTGTAGGAACTTATTGAAGAGAACATTATTATTAAAGGCATTTGCATGAAAATCTTAGAGATATTATTTTATCTCCCTTCTCTGTCCCAAACTTCTTATGCAGCACCCAATGTTCTGTGATGTCTCAAAATTTTAATCACTACTTGGAAAAGAGAAGTTTAAAGTATTAAAGTAAATAGTCAGAGGAAAGAAGCATTTGATTCACAAAATCCTGAAACAATCACTTTCATTTTGCTTTTGGCATGTATGCAAAGTCATTGATACTCCTCCCTTCCAGAGGTGCAACTTAATGCCCTCCCTGTGAGTGTGGCCTGGACTTAATGGTTCACTTCTAACTGACAGAGCAATGCTGATGTAACAGTTTGTGACTCTGGTGTAGGACATAAAACTCAATGTGGCTTCCACCTTGCTTCTCCCCCTTTAGGATCATGAGCTCTGGGGAAGCCAGTTGTTTTGTCATAAGCAGCCCTGTGCAAAGCTCCATGTTCTAGAAACTGCGGGCCCCTGGGACCAGCAAGCAAGAAGCTGAGGCCTCTTCCAGCAGCCAGGTGAGTGAGCCACGTTTCATGCAATCCCCAGCCCCAGTCCAGCCCTCAGATGACACTGCCTGGCTGACAGCTGTACTGGGACCCTGTGAGAGGCCCTTAGCCAGGAGCACTCAGCGAAACCTCTCCTGGATTCCTGACCACCAGAAACTGTGGGAAATAATAGATATTTGTTGTTTTGAGCTGCTATGTTTTGGGTAATTTCATACACAGCAGTAGATAGCTAATAGAATTTGCAAAGAGAGAATGAATTATAGCACTTTAATTTTCATTTTCTCTACATGAATTATAAGTTATTAAACATATCATTTGGTCTTAGAATGTAAGAAGAAATTTCCATGGCTAAATAGGGTGTACTTTATTACCACTCACAAGTATCCATTGACTTGAACTTTTATTTCCAGCTGTGACCCAACTGAACACAAAAGGAAGATCCGGGCCATGCTGGGCTGATTCTGCGATGTCCCCCAATAACCACCCCCTGTTTATTCACCTTCCCCCAGTTACTCAGTCACCACTAATGTAGGTGCTGCTGCAAAGGGACTTGCAGATATAACTAAGGTCCAAAATCAGTTGACTTTAAGACAACAAATTATTCTGGATTGGACTGTCCTAATCCAGGTGAGCCCTAAAAAGGACTGGGTTCTTCCTGAGCATGAGATAAACAGTGTGAGAGGGACTCAGTCAGTGTGAGAAAACTTCTTCACTGGGGGCTTTGAAAGTGGAGAGGCCATGTGGCAGGGAATGCTGGGGGCACCAGAAAGTGGAAGCAGCACCCCCTCAACCCCCTGTCCGCCCCCCCGCCCCACTTACCTGATAGCCAGCAATGAAACAAGGACCTCAGTCCTACAACTGCCAGAAACAGAATTCTGCCCACAGGCTCCAGATAAGCTTGGGGGAGGACACAATCTCAAGATGAGGACACAGCTTTGGGAAACCCTGAACAGAGAACACATCCACACCATGCCGGATAAGCACATAGCATTTTTTCCACTGCAGTGAATTTATAAACTAATGTGTAATAGTTGCATGAAATAAAATCATTCCTTTTTTAGTATTTTTCCATTTATGAGTTTTATGTAAGTAAATTAAATTTTAAGACAATGAGATTTCATTTATTCTAGGCATCCTCAAACTGTGCCCACAAGCCACTTGGTGCCCACAAGCCACTTGGCGCCCACGGAGGACATTTATCCAGCCTGCCCAGTGTTTTTGCCTCCACTGCCTTGTCCTGCTTAGCAGTTGTCTGGTCCCAGGCCCACAGTGTGCACTCTCCAGTGGTCTGAGGGACAATGAACTGGCCCCCTGTTTAAAAAGTTTTAGGAACCCTGATTTATTCCTTCAACAAAAATTAACTTAGTGCCCACTTGGTACCAGGTATACCTTTACATGCTGGGGTTACGGCTTTGACCCAAACAGCCAAAAGCCCCTGTACCCACGTACCTTACATTCCAGAGGCTTCCCAAGAGTGAAACCAACCCATGGGAGCATTTTAAGTGAAAAAATGACAGGACCTGACTCTCATTGGCAAGACTGTTGAGCACTGTGGGGAGGACAGCTGTGGGCAGCAGGTGAGGGGACAGTGCTAGTGCCACAGGTCAGGAGTGAGAGGCGGTGGGACTAAGGGGAGATGAGTGCAGGCTGAGAGGGACAGAGGGAAGGGCTGGAGAAGCAGGAGCTGAGGAACAGGAGCTGAGGGAAAGAGTTCTAAAGCAGCCGAATTCTCAGATTCAAACACAGGGTTTTATAGATTTTAATACATATATCTACAGAGCCCAACAGGGTGTTCTTTGTATTTGATAATTTTTTTTTAACTTTAAAAAATGTAGAACTTGCTCTGGATGTGCAGCTAGAGGTGCATTGTTTTCACATTTGGGCTTGATAGCAGCTTCTTTACCAGAGGTGATGGTGGCACCCAGGCAGGTGTCTCCCAAGCACCCACCCCGATCTTCATTCTGAAGCAGTACTTACTCCCCATAGGTAGCTCCATGATTCCCTCTTGCTGTTCCAGCAGCCTGTATTTCATAATTAATATATTTGTGGGGCTGCCTAAATGCTAATTGCCTATAATATTAATCAGGTTAAATAATACCAACTGTCCCCCCAAAATATGCACACAACTTAGGTGTGAATAATTCATAAAAACAGGCAAGGCGTGAGCACGGGTGAGGGGCATCCCTACTGAGCACACGCAGCTTGGAAGTGATCAAAGTCCTACAACTCTGGTTGAAAGAGACAGCAACAGATTGTGCTTCTTGGTATGAGGTGATGTCCTGGACTCACACACACAGACTCAGGGCTGTAGAACGAAGACAATTTTAAAATAGAACAACTCAGGAGTCCAAGGCACACCGTCTGGGAAAGTAAAACTTGGGAGCATTGTGAGTCTAACTGTAACAGGTTTAGACACATTTATATATGGAGGGCCCCAACTCACTTGTTTCACACCTTAGATGCCTGATCATTTAGGGGTTACCAAGATTGTGCTGCCCACCCTAGACAATAAACACAAAGGAAAATGGTCTCCATGAGAGTCTCTCTGTGGTGCATTTAGACACAACGTCTCCGGGTTTAAAGAGAAAACCCTCATCTCTACACCTCCTGACCCAGGGCAAGCTGACTCTGGCATCAAGTTTCCTGGGGTGAGTTTTCTTCTATAAGTGTCCATGGGGAGAGGACAGGAGTAGGAGGTAGGGAGTCCAGTCAGGGAGAGGGGTTCCGGGACGGGAAGTAGTCAGGGTCTGGGCCCATCCTGGGGGTCTCTCCCTGGTTTCCTCTGACAGCTCCTGGGCCGGGACTCGGGGAGACAATATGACAAAGAGCGCTCGGTGCAGAAGAAGAGGGGTCAGGGCAATGTCGCCCGGCCCCGGGCGTGGCTCTCAGGGTGTCAGTCCCGAGGTCAATGTTCAGGGAAGGGAAGCTCAGCCCTGGAGATTCCCCATCTCCCTGAGTTTCACTTCTGACTGTCCCAACCCGTATAGGTCCTTCTTCCTGGATACTGCTGACGCGCACCCAACTGTCACTCCCATTGGGTAACTGGTTTCCAGAGACGCCATGAGCGAAGCCGCGGTGCCGGGTTATAAAGTCACCACCCAACGACCGGGACTCAAGAGTCTCCACAGACCGCGAGGATGGCGGTCCCGGCGCCCCGAACCCCGCTCCTGCTGCTGTGGGGGGCCCTGGCCCTGACGGAGACCCGGGCGGGTGAGTGCGGGTCGGAGGGGGCGGCGTGTGCGGGCGGAGCGAGGGCGCCGCCGGGCCGGGCGGGGGCGCAGGAGCGGGCGCGGCGCGGGAGGCAGGTCGGGGTCTCAGCCGCTCCCCGCCCCCAGGCTCCCACTCCCTGAGGTATTTCGCCACCGCCGTGTCCCGGCCCGGCCGCGGGGAGCCCCGGTACATCGAGGTCGCCTACGTGGACGACACGCAGTTCGTGCGGTTCGACAGCGACGCGGCGAGTCCGAGGATGGAGCCGCGGGCGCCGTGGGCGGAGCGGGAGGGGCCGGAGATTTGGGACGAGCAGACTCTCAGAGCCAAGGTCAACTCGCAGAATTTCCAAGTGAACCTGCGGACCCTGCGCGGCTACTACAACCAGAGCGACGCCGGTGAGTGACCCCGGCTCGGGTCACAGGTCACGACCCCTCCCTGTCCCCGCAGAGTACCCCGCGTCGCCCCGAGTCCCGGGGTCCAGAGCCTGCGGGACTTGCCGAGAACTTCGATCCCGCGGGGACTTTCACCCGGTTTCATTTTCGGTTTAGGCCCAAATCCCCGCGGGCGGTGGGGGGCGGGGCCGGGTTGAGTGGGCGGGGCTGAGTGGGCGGGGCTGACGGCGGGGGCGGGGCCAGGCTCTCACACCATCCAGTGGATGTACGGCTGCCACGTGGGGCCAGACGGTCTCCTCCTACGCGGGTATGAACAGTTCGCCTACGACGGCGCTGACTACATCGCCCTGAACGAGGACCTGCGCTCCTGGACCGCGGCGGACACGGCCGCTCAGATCTCCAAGCAGAAGTTCGAGACGGCCGGTGCGGCGGAGCACCACAGGACCTACGTGGAGGGAACGTGCGTGTACTGGCTCCGCAGATACCTGGAGCACGGGAAGGACACGCTGCTGCGCGCGGGTACGCGGGGCCGCGGGCGCCTCCACTATCTCCTGTGGATGTCCCCGCTCTGCTCCACAAGGACTGGAGGAAAATGGGACGGAGGCTAGAATGTCACCCTCCCTCTGGTCAGAGCAGGAAGACGCCTCCTGGTGTCAGATCCTGCACCAGGGAGTGACTCTGAGGATCCGCCCTTCTCTCTGGGAGAATTAGGGACCAGTCCCCCAGGGAATGGAGGGGAACACAGTCCCTGGAATACGGATCAGGGGTCCCCTCTGACCCTGCCCCAGCCGCGGGCGCCGTGACTTTTCCTCTCAGACCGTGTTCTCTGCCTCACACTCTGTGTTTGGGGTTGGATTCCCACCCTTCTGAGCTGCTACCCTGCACTCAGGCCAGGTCTTGAAGTCCCCGTTCTCCTCCTGAGACCCTAGAACTTTCCAAGGAGTAGGAGATTATCCCAGAACCCTGGGTCCAAGCTCTTGACTGGATTTCCCACTCCCTTCCCCCGCCCCGTTTGTCCTGCCCATTCTCAGGGTGTCACATGAGCACTGCTGGAGTGTCCCCTGAGGGATGCAAAGTGCCCCAATTTTCTGACTCTTCCCCTCAGACCCCCCAAGGACACACGTGACCCACCACCCAAGCTCTGAGCGTGAGGCCACCATGAGGTGCTGGGCCCTGGGCTTCTACCCTGGGGAGATCACACTGACCTGGCAGCGGGATGGGCAGGACCTGACCCAGGATATGGAGTTTGTGGAGACCAGGCCTGCAGGGGATGGAACCTTCCAGAAATGGGCAGCTGTGGTAGTGCCTCCAGGAGAGGAGCAGAGATACACGTGCCATGTGCAGCACGAGGGGCTGCCGGAGCCCCTCACCCTGAGATGGGGTAAGGAGGGGCTGGGGGTCCTGTCTCTTCTCAGGGAAAGCAGGGCCCTTCTGGAGCCCGTCAGCAGGGTCAGGGCTGAGCCTGGCTCAGGCCCCTCACCTTCCCGTCCTTTCCCAGAGCCGCCTTCCCAGACCAGCGTCTCTATGGTGGGCATCATTGCTGGCCTGGTTGTCCTTGGAGCTGTGCTCATTGGAGCTGTGGTCGCTGCTGTCATGTGGAGGAAGAAGAGCCCAGGTAAGAAGGGATGGGGGAGGGGTTGGTTCTTTCTTGTCCCACTGAGGGTTTCACACTTCTGCCCAGGCAGAAGTGTGCCCTGCCTCATTCAGGGGCCCTATTTACTCACACTTGCTCTATTGGAAAGGACATGGAATGTACAGAACAAATCCATCACCTTGATGATTGTGGGAATGGGGACCTGAATCCCCAGCGGTCACAGGTCACAGGGACAGGTGCCTGCTGAGCACAGACCTCCAGGAGGGCAGTTGGTCCAGTTCCTCCTTCCCTCGTGTTTCTTAATCTTGACCTACATCATTAGTCTCAGTTCTGGTACCTTCTGTGAGGTCTAAAACTAGGGGCATCTTCTAGGACCTCGTGGCCCTGCCTCCTCTCTGGCCTCTCACAGGACATTTTCTTCCCACAGGTGGAAAAGGAGGGAGCTACGCTCAGGCTGCCTGTAAGTATGGGTACCTTATCCCTGAGACCTTTGGGACAGTGTAGACAGGAGCCCATGGGGGGGCTCCCCACCCCATAATCCTCGTGTAGCCACCTCTCCTGTGGGCTCTGACCAGGTCCTGTTCTCTTCTACCCCAGGCAGTGACAGTGCCCAGGGCTCCGATGTGTCTCTCACAGCTTGTAAAGGTGAGAGCCTGGGGGCCTGAAGGCAGGGAGTGGGGCATCGGGACAGAGCTGGGCTGTGGGGATTCTGTGATTGGGACATTTTGACTGTGGCGTGCTGTTCCTAGTGTGACCACTTATCATGATTCACCTGAATTTGTTCCTGATTGTTTTCTGCAGCATGAGACAGCTGCCTGTGTGGGACTGAGCGATGCAGGACTTGTTCCCGCCTCCCCTGTGTGGCGTCAGGAGCCTCTGACTTCTCTGTGTGCAAAGGCACCTGATGACTCTGCGACCCTGTCAGCATCGTGTGAGGGGCTGGGGAGGCCAGTCCTGCCCCGTGTCCTGGACCCTCTGCCACACTTTTCCGTGTCATAATACATAATAATTGTTTATATTATGGGGTACATGTGATATTTCGGTGCAAGCATACAATGTGTAATGATCAAATCTGGGTCATTAGACTGTCCCTCACCTCAAAAGTTTATCATTTGTTTGTGTTGGGAAGGTAATCTTCTCTTCTAGTTTGAAATATACAGTAAATTATTGTTACCGACAATCACCCTATTGTCCTATTGAACACTAGATCTTATTCCTTCTATCCAACTATTTTATAGCCATGGCAAACTCTGGAAACCACCACTGTAGTCCCTACCTCTGTGTGGTCAGTTTCTTTTACCTCCCACATGTGAGAGAGACACGTGATATCTGTCTGTGCCTGGTTCATTCGTCTTGTCGTAGTGTCCGTGTTGCTGCACCCAACCTTATTTTTTTTTATTTTTTACTTTTTTTATGGCCAGCTGTTCTGGCAGGTGCTGCTCCCGCTCCCTCAGGAACTGGTGGCCCTGCTCAAACTCTGCCTCGATGTCCCGCCTCTGGTCCTGGAGCTTCTTCTGCAGGGTCAGACACAGGAAGGGCTGACGCCTCTGCCGAGGGGCAGAGGAACCGGCATTGGGGACACACCAGGACCCCATTCCTGAATTCTGCAGCATCTGGTGGGGAGGGGGCCTCAAAGGCTCCCGGTTCCCCCTCCTCTCCTCAGAGAAGCTCGAGCAGTTCGGTTCCCTCAGACCTGTGTGAGCAGAACCGGACTCTGGCAGCCTGGCAGGCATCTCTGCTCCAGGCAATCCGGCCTGTCCCAAGGCCCTGGGAACCTGAGGTGTCACCCATGAGCCAGCACCCTCCGTCCTGGCGGAATCCGCCTATCGCCTCATCCGGTAAGCGTGCTTGTCATCTGAGCCTGCACAACCCTCTCCTCAGAACCCCGCTGGTAGGTCCCCATGTCTGTGTCACCCCGTCCCATGACACAGGCTGTGCCCTGCATCCTCAGGGCCCCTGTCCACCCCTGCCTGCAGCCCCCCTGCCTGACTGGAGTCAGGCCACAGTACTCAGTGCCCCTCGGACCCATGCTGGGGCAGAGGTGTCCGTGACAACCAGGGCCTGGAGATGCTCCTTGGACTCGGGCTGTCTCTGCCTTTACCTCTCCCTCTTCCCGGGCCCAGTGTCCCTCCACTGCCCGCTCCCCAACAATCACACTCCCTGGAGAACTGGAGCCGCCCCCGTCAGGGTTTTCCCTTCTGACGCCTTTGTCTAAGCGAGTACACAAGGTGCCGCCAGGTCATAACTGCCGCTGTCCCTCGTGTCAGCGGGCGATGGGTTCCAGGACCTCCCGCTCCCGAGGATAGAAAATCCAAGTGTGTGCAAGTCCCTGATACACAAGGGCGCAGCCTCCGTGCACTCGGTCTTGATCACCCATGACACCCGGCGCAGTGAACACGCTGTGGGAACCGCTGCTGCGCTGCACCCTTCAGAGAGCAACGACAGAGTCCGCACGTGTGGAGGAGACGCTTTTCCCTTTTCTGAGCATTTCCATTCTGTGGCTGGTGGAGCCCACGGGTGCAGACCAGTGACACGCAGGGCCGGCTGCACTGGCGACCTCCCCCGCGCACACCTCACCTGCTCGGTGCCACCAGAGCTGGTCGGGCCCCCTCAGATGCCTCTACCTCCCTCAGCTCTTACCCCAGAGCCAGCGCCCTCTCGCCAGGCCCTGCAGCTTCCCTCCACCCTCTGGAAATCCTGTCTCTCTCTCCCCTCTCTACGAGAAGAATGAAGCCAGGCCTCTTCCACCACCTAGCGGAGGAGCAGCAGCTGCCAGACGCGGACCCTGCAGCGGAGGTGACAGTCACAGAGAACGGAAGGGACCCTGACTGGCGGCCCGCTTACCTCTCAGGTGAGAAGCAGGCTCAAGGCCACACAGCTCAGAGGCACAGAGCTGGGGCGGCCACTGCCAGCCCGAGCCCGTCCTCCTGCAGGCGGGGGCCCTAGGGACACTGGTGGTGCGGGCAGCCACCTCGGCCTTCCCGCAGCCGAGCTCACCGGTGCCACCAGGACGTCAGCTTCTCCGTTGGCCTGGAAGCCCTGGATTTTCTCTCTGTCCCTCCTTAGGGCCTTCGGGTGGTTCAGGATTTTTTCTTGTGGACAGGGAAGCCGCGGGGACAGGTGGATGCTCCGGCTAATGCTTCGTGGGCTGCGGGCGCAGTTCCCTGGAAGGCGGCAGGGCGGGCTCACCCAGCGGGGCTGAGCGGACTTCTCCACCAGCACGGCCGGCCATGTGGGGCCTGTGCTCCCGGGACTCCCGGCACATCACGCACAGCTGCCTCCCGTCGTCCTCCCAGTAGGAGTGCAGCTTCTCCCAGTGCCGCACACGCGCACAGCTTCTTCCCGCCCTGATGCTTCCGGGGCCCGCGCTCCAGGCCCCAGCCCTTGTGCGCCTTCAGCTGCTTGCTAGATGTTCTCCACCAGGCTGGTCAGCTGCCTCACAGGGCAGGCGCCTTCCTTCTTGATCGGCTTCTCCCAGAGCGGACACGCGGGGCGCCACCCCCCACCCCAGGTGGGGCAGACGTTGCTGGCAGCTGTGGCAGAAGACGTGGCCACAGTCAATGGTCACGGGGTCCCCCAGGTGATCCAGGCAGATGGAGCAGGTCACCTCTTCTTACAGGCTCCCCAGTGGGGCTGGCCTGGCCATGGTGCCCATAGCTCAGAGGGTTCTAAGCTCACCGGTGGGGGCTTCTCCTTGGGGACCAGACACAGAGTCAAGAGCAGGCGCAGCAAAGGGGCAGAGGCGCGTTGGCCTGTGCAGGGCGCCGGACCCAGACACCACCAGCTCCCAGGAGGCTCTCACGACCTCAGAGTGACAGGGACCTTGCCTATCTCGAATAGCTAGTTGTCAGGAAACCTAATGCCTAGATTGGAGTTAACCATTTCTTCCTCCTGTATCAAACCAAAACTGTCACGATGTTAAAGCTAGGTGTGTCGACCGAAGTTTGAGACTGACATTTTTCTAAGGAAAAGAGAATTCAATTAGGCAAATATTTGTGAAGATGATGTTTGAGTAAATAATCAACATCTCAAGAATTCTTAAGAAACTAATTTTGAAATTTTTTTCCTCTCTCTCTCTCTCCCTCTGTCTCTCTCTCTCTCTGTTTTCCTTTTCTTTTTATACACAGGGACTCCCTGTGTTGCCCAGGCTGGTATGAAACTCCAGGCCTCAGGGGATCCTCCAGCTAAAGCCTCCTGAGTTGCTGGCATTGTAAGTGTGAGCCACTGTGCCCAGCTCTGAATATTCTTGGGAAAAAACAAAGATTGTGATTATTTAAAGTCATTATTGTTATGGCACTGAAATCACGGTACTCTTGGATCCTTTGATCCAGCTACTATATGTTCTCAATTTTGTAGGAACTTATTGAAGAGAACATTACTATTAAAGGCATTTGCATGAAAATCTTAGAGATATTGTTTTATCTCCCTTCTCTGTCCCAAACTTCTTTAGCAGCACCCAATGCTCTGTGATGTCCCAAAATTTTAATCACTGCTTGGAAAAGAGAAGTTTAAAGTATTAAAGTAAAATAATCAGAGGAAAGAAGCATTTGATTTACAAAATCCTGAAACAATCACTTTCATTTTGCTTTTGGCATGTATGCAAAGTCATTGATACTCCTCCCTTCCAGAGGTGCAGCTGAATTCCCTCCCTGTGAGTGTGGCCTGGACTTAATGGTTCACTTCTAACTGACAGAGCAACGCTGATGTAACAGTTTGTGACTCTGGGGTAGGACATAAAACTCACTGTGGCTTCCACCTTGGTTCTCCCTCTCTGGGATCATGAGCTCTGGGGAAGCCAGCTGCTGTGTCATACGCAGTCCTGTGCCAAGCTCCACGTTCTAGAAACTGAGGGTTCCTGGGACCAGCCAACAAGCAACTGAGGCCTCTTCCAGCAGCCACGCGAGTGAGCCACATTTCATGCAATCCCCAGCCCCTGTCCAGCCCTTAGATGACACTGCCTGGCTGACAACTGGACAGCTACCCTGTGAGAGGCCCTGAGCAGGAGCACTTAGTGAAACCTCTCCTGGATTCATGACTACCAGAAACTATAGGAAATAATAAATGTTTTGAGCTGCTACGTTTTTGGTAATCTCATACATAGCAGTAGATTACTAATAGAATTTGCAAAGAGAGAATGAATCATTGCACTTTAATTATCATTTGCTCTGCATTAATTATAATGTATTAAACATATCATTTGGTCTTAGGATGTAAGAAGAATTTCCATGGCTAAATAGGGTGTATTTTATTACCACTCATAACTATACATATATTTGAACTTGTGTTTCCAGCTGTGACTCAACTGAACACAAAAGGAAGATCCGGGCCAAGCTAGGCTGATTCTGTGATGTCCCCCAATAACCACCCCCTGCTTATTCACCTTCCCCCAGTTACTCAATCACCACTGATGTAGGTGCTGCTGCGAAGGGACTTGCAGATATAAGATATAACTAAGCTCCAAAATCAGTTGACTTTAACACAAGGGATTATCCTGGATTGGACTGTCCTAATCCAGGTGGGCCCGCAAAAGGACTGGGTTCTTCCTGAGCATGAGATTCACAGTGCGAGAGGGACTCAGTTTGAGAATATTTTCTTCACTGTGGGATTTGAAAGGGGAGAGGCCTTGTGGCCAGGAATGCTGGGGGCACCAGGAATTGGGAACAGCACTGCCCCCTTTACCTGATAGCCAGCAATGAAACAAGGACCTCAGTCCTACAACTGCTAGAAATGGAATTCTGCCCACAGGCTCTATATAAGCTTGGGGGATCACCCACGGCAAGATGAGAACACAGCTTTGTGAAACCCTGAACAGAGAACACATCCACACCATGCCTGATAAGCACATAACATTTTTTCCACTGGAATGATTTTATAAACTAATATGTACTAGTGGCATGAAAGAAAATCTTTCCTTTTTTAGGATTTTTCCATTTGTGACTTTATGTGAGTAATTACATTTTAAGACAATGAGATTTCATTTATTCCAGGCGACCTCAAACTCAGCCAGTGGGCCACTTGCCGCCTGAGGAGGACATTTATCCAGCCTTCCCAGTGTTTTTGCCTCCACTGCCTGTCCTGCTTAGCAGCTGACTGGTCCCAGGCCCACAGTGTGCACTCACCAATGGTCTGAGGGACAATGAACTGGCCCCCTGTTTAAAAAGTTTGAGAAACCCTGATTTATTCATTCAACAAAAATTAACTTAGTGCCTACTTGGTAGCAGGTACCCTTTACATGCTGGGGTTTACGGCTTTGACCCAAACAGCCCAAAGCCCCTGTGCCTTCATGCCTTACATTTCAGAGGCTTTGCAAGAGTGAAACCAACCCATGGGATCATTTTAGGTGAAAAAGTGACTCTCATTGGCCAGACTGCTGATCACTGTGGGGAGGACAGCTGTGGGCAGGAGGTGAGGGGACAGTGCTAGTGCCACAGGTCAGGAGTGAGAGGCGGTGGGACTAAGGGCAGATGAGAGAAGGCTTAGAGGGACAGGGAAGGGCTAGAGAAGCAGGAGCTGACGAACAGGAGTAGAGGGAAAGAGTTCTAAAGCTGCCAAATTTTCGGATTCAAACATAGTGTTTTATAGACTTTAATATGCATATCTACAGAACCAGCAGGGTGTTCTTTGTATTTGATAATTTTTTTTTTAATTTAAAGAAATGTAGAACTTGCTCTGGATGTGCAGCTGGAGGTGCTTTGTTTTCACACTGGAGCTTGATAGCAGCTTCTTCACCAGAGGTGATTTGACACCCAGGCAGATGTCTCCAAGCACTGGCTCCGGATCTTCATTCCCAGGCGGTACTTATTCCTCATGCATAGCTCCATGATTTGCTCTTGTTGTTACAGCAGCCTGTATTTCATAATTAATACATTTGGGGGCTGTCTAAATGCTAATTGCCTTATAATATTAATCAAGTTAAATAATACCAACTGTCCCCCCAAAATATGCACACAGCTTAAATGTGAATAATTCATAAAAACAGGCAAGGTGAGCACAGGTGAGGCGCATTCCTACTGAGCACGTGCAGCTTGGAAGTGATTCAAGTCCTACCACTCCTTGTTGAAAGAGACAGAAACAGATTGTGCTTTTTGGTATGAGCCGATGTACTGGACTCACACACACAGACTCAGGGCTGTAGAAGGAAGACAATTTTAAAATACAACAACTGAGAGTCCAAGACGCACCATCTAGGAAAGAAAACTTGGGAGCGTTGTGAGTCTAACTGTAACGGGTTTAGACACATTTATATATCTAGGGGTCTTACTCTCTTCTTTTACACCTTAGATTCCTGATCATTCAGGGGTTACCAAGATTGTGATGCCCACCCTAGTCAATAAACAAAAAGGAACCTGGTCTCTATGAGTCTCTCTGTGGTGCATTTAGACACAACATCTCCAGGTTTAAAGAGAAAAACCCGTGTCTACACCTCCAGGCCCAGGGCAAGCTGACTCTGGCATCCAGTTCCCTGGGGTGAGTTTTCTTCTAGAAGAGTCCCGGGGGAGAGGACAGGAGTAGGAGGCAGGGAGTCCAGTCCAGGGAGAGGGGTTCCTGGGCGGGAAGTGAAGGGGCAGGGTCTGGGCCCAGTGTGGGGGGTCTCTCCCCAGTTTCCTCTGACAGCTCCTGGGCCGTGACTGAGGGAGACAGTGTGACAAAGAGCGCTCGGTGCAGAAGGAGAGGGGTCAGGGCAATGTCGCAGGGCCCTAAGCGTGGCTCTCACGGTGTCAGTCACGAGGGCAGTGTCTCCAGCTGGAAGCTCGGCCTTGGAGACTCCCCATCTCCCAGTGTTTCACTTCTGCCTGGCCCAACCCCTGTCAGGTTCTTCTTCCTGGATACTGCTGACGCGTCACCAATTCTCACTTCCATTGGGTGTTCGGTTTCCAGAGTCGCCAATCAGCGTCGCCGCGGAGCCCGGTTGTAATGTCCCCACGGACTCGGAGTCTCCGCAGACCGCGAGGATGGCGGTCCCGGCGCCCCGAGCCCCGCTCCTGCTGCTGTGGGGCGCCCTGGCCCTGACGGAGACCCGGGCGGGTGAGTGCGGGTCGGAGGGGCGGCGTGTGCGGGCGGAGCGAGGGCGCCGCCGGGCCGGGCGGGGGCGCAGGAGCGGGCGCGGCGCGGGAGGCAGGTCGGGGTCTCAGCCGCTCCCCGCCCCCAGGCTCCCACTCCCTGAGGTATTTCGACACCGCCGTGTCCCGGCCCGGCCGCGGGGAGCCCCGGTACATCTCCGTCGGCTACGTGGACGGCACGCAGTTCGTGCGGTTCGACAGCGACGCGGCGAGTCCGAGGATGGAGCCGCGGGCGCCGTGGGTGGAGCGGGAGGGGCCGGAGTATTGGGACGAGCAGACTCTCAGAGCCAAGGGAAACGCGCAGACTGACCAAGTGAACCTGCGGACCCTGCGCGGCTACTACAACCAGAGCGACGCCGGTGAGTGACCCCGGGCTCCGGTCACAGATCACGACCCCTCCCTGACCCCACAGAGTACCCCGCGTCGCCCCGAGTCCGCAGGTCGGAGAGTCAACCCAAGCCTTGGGACCCGCCAAGACCTTTCATCGCGCGGGGACTTTCACCCGGTTTCATTTTCGGTTTAGGCCAAAATCCCCGCGGGTGGGGGCGGGGCTGAGTGGGCGTGGCTGACGGCGGGGGCGGGGCCAGGCTTTCACACCATCCAGTGGATGTTTGGCTGCGACATTGGGCTGGACGGTCGCCTCCTCCGCGGGTACCATCAGTATGCCTACGACGGCGCCGACTACCTCGCCCTGAACGAGGACCTGCGCTCCTGGACCGCGGCGGACACGGCGGCTCAGATCTCCAAGCGCAAGTTCCAGGCGGCCGGTGTGGCGGAGCACGAAAGGGCCTACCTGGAGGGAACGTGCGTGGACTGGCTCCGCCGACACCTGGAGCACGGGAAGGACACGCTGCTGCGCGCGGGTACGCGGGGCCGCGGGGCGCCTCCCGCATCTCCTGTGGATGTCCCCGCTCTGCTCCCACAGGGACGGGAGGAAAACGGGACCCAGGCTAGAATGTCGTCCTCCCTCTGGTCCAGAGCAGGAAGACGCCTCCTGGTGTCAGATCCTGCACCAGGGAGAGACTTTGAGGACCCGCCCTTCCCTGTGGGACAATTAAGGACTAGTCCCCCAGGGAATGGAGGGGAACACAGTCCCTGGAATACCGATCAGTGGTCCCCTCTGACCCTGCCCCAGCGGCGGGCGCCGTGACTTTTCTCTCTCCCCGTGACTTTTCCTTCTCTGCCTCGAACTCTGTGTTTGGGGTCGGATTCCCGCCCTTCTGAGCCGCTGACCTCCACTCAGGCCAGGACTGGAAAACCCCATTCTCCCCCTGAGAGAATAGAACTTTCCAAGAAGTAGGAGATTATCCCAGACCCCTGGGTCCAGGCTGGAGTCTGGATTTCCCACTCCCTTCCCCACCCCGTTTGTCCTGCCCATTCTCTCCGTGTCACATGAGCACTGCTGGATGTCCCCTGAGGGATGGAAAGTGCCCGAATTTTCTAACTCTTCCCCTCAGAACCCCCAAGGACACACGTGACCCACCACCCCAGCTCTGAGCGTGAGGCCACCCTGAGGTGCTGGGCCCTGGGCTTCTACCCTGCGGAGATCACACTCACCTGGCAGCGGGATGGGCAGGACCAGACACAGGACACG